CTATTTGATCAAAGCAAAATTCGTGCATAATTTTAATTAATTTAATCAATTCAATTAAATAAATTAAATGAAGCATACCTGAAAACCTTTTACAAATTCAATTGAAATATATAAAGAAATTGGAATTATATTTTGAAAAATAATCAGGCCTGAGCTGTATAATATGAAATGTAAGTTGTTTAAAATGCTAAAATATCGAATTCAAATAAATCACAAAAACTTACAAAAAAGTTAGAAAAGATGCGAGCGGAATTGTCTGTTGAGAATTAGAAGTTACACGTTCTTCGATGCGGTTACCCCTTGCATTAAGCAAAAGTGTTGATGATACACCACTTCCAACAGCACAAATTGAGGCAAGAATGATGAGAATTACAAAGTTTAAAATGACCTAATTTTTTTCAACAGGGAAAGAAAAAAACAACGATCAAACGATGTAATATAAAGTTATTCAAAACAGGGAGCAATAAAGATGCAAACCAACCCTTTCAAATGCTTAAGTATAAACGTACTTCCTGATTCATTTCTTTTTCTATTCTACTTCTTTTACTTGGAGTTTCACCAGAATTAAGCATAATTTTAGTATCGATACCGGTAAAAACAGTTATAGCAATGACCCATTCAGTATTTCGAATAACATGAGCACGTAATAATAAATTATTTATATCAATAGGAATAGCGTTTTTCGACTTTATTCGAGGATTTTGACCTCTTTCAGAAGTGATTGAATTGAAGTCTTGTTCTTGCAATGAATCAATTTCGGAGACTATGGTTAATTTTGCATTATAGCTGAAGAGATTAGAATTTGGAGGTTCCGAATCAATCCAAAACCTAGCTTTTGAACATTCTTCAGGAGAAGTGATATGTTTTAAGGCATCAACAGCAACACATCTACGAGGTTTAAGATTAGTTTCACCATCAAGATCTTTAGTTTCTACGAAACAAGTACCATTTTGCTCAGAAGTTGATATAATTATGGCATCAGCAGGTACAGCATCACCATTTTTGAGAAATAAAAAGTCACCAACACGAACATCTTTCCACATAACTTTTTTAAATTCAGGTTGACCATTTATTTCATTTGAAGGTTTACATGGAATATCATCATTGATAGGATTCTGACCTTCCCGAGGTTTTAATTTGTTCCAGTTAAAAAAAAGTTTTATTCTAAGTAGTATTCGTTTCCATAGAGAAAGTTTTTTCTGATCCGGATAGTTAAAATTAATAAAATTTTGTAAAAGATAGCAAGTAGCACTATTATATTTATCATCAATTTTATGACGATTCAAATCTTCCACGGCATCTTTACATGCTGTAAGAAACACAACAGTCGAAAGAGGAAGTAAAGTCAAAACAGGGGAATTTGAGCTAATGGCAGGTATCATTCCAAGAACAGCCATGATTAAGAAATACATGTTGGCAGCTCTCCGGAATTGTTCGAACAAGTTTTTTGGAAGAAAAGTCCATATATTATACTTAGAGGTGACGATCTTGTTGGAGACATATTTACCCTTTGGTTGACCTCTACGGTCAGCTATAGGTATATTGGCAAATACTTGACGTTCTTTACAAATTGGAATTCTATTTTTTATTTTTGATTTTGTTCTCTTTAATTGTCTATTTCGTGAATCGTTAATAGTATTGTCACTTGTAACACTTTTCTCGCTTACAGCTTCTTGCGCTGGAAGCAGTGTAATATTTGTGGTAGGAGAAGTCATATTAACCGTAAAGTAGAGTAAAGAAGTAGCTCAAAAGATTAAAATAGGCCAAAATAATAATAGTGGTCCTAAATACTTCTAAACTGTAAAGAGATTTGTAGACGAGAACAGGGAGTATGAAAAATTGTTCTTGTAGGACAAGGTCAGATTTAGTCCCGTATAAACATATGTACTTTATTTATTAAGGGAAGTTCTATTCAGAAGGTTGTTTAAACTAACGTTATTTTTAAACAATGTAATATAAATTTTTATAAATTTTCTAATTTGGATGTTCTAAAAATAAGTATCGACCAAAACATGGTTGTTTAATCTATATAAATATAAACATTCATGACCAAAAAGGAATTATAATATCGATCAAGAAATGAGATTCCTTTTTAAGACTATACTAAAAATTAACCACAAAGCCACGTTTATAACTTCAAATATGATGGCATTTATCGTTATTTATAATCTACTACGTATACAAATTTTTAGATGCTTCATTTGTCTCGCTTCACATGAACCGGGATTGATATACCTAGTCATTAAAATGACGGGCCAATGCCTAATAACTATACGCTAATAACAAAACGGTGCCTAAATTTGAAATGATATTGTATAACGCTAATTTACATGATCTATGCGTATCCCATTGCCCATTAACAATAAAAAAAATCCAATCTACTATGTATGAATCATAGAATCTACTGTCATAACTTTATATTAGCTGTAATACACTTGTGAAAGTTCCAATTTTTTTAATAATTTATCTTTGCTCTTCAGCTAATCTCTATTGTAAACATGTTTTTAATAAATTATGAAGCTACAAAGAAAAAAGAAAGTAATCTTTGCTCTTCAGCTAATCTCTATTGTAAACATGTCTTTAATCAATTATGAAGCTACAAAGAAAAAGAAAGTAATCTTTGCTCTTCAGCTAATCTCTATTGCAAATGTGTGCTTCCTCAC